GTGACTATTCTGATCATAGGTGTTACCTCAACTGTAGCTGTCAATTAGCGTTGGGTACTGTTGAACCTGGTGGCTCTGCAGAACTCTGTTGTTAGCTTCCTGGCCTCAGGGTGCTCCTCTCTTAAGTTGAATCCGGAGGCTCCACAGAGCTCTGTCGTGGCGCTTCTGCCTCCTGTCTGAACCCAGCATTCACACCCAGATACGCTCTTATGTACCAAAATTTGGCACAGATTGATTTAAGGTGAATCAGTGCTCGGTGGTACCAATGTAATTTGGTCATTACCCTTAAAAGTACCGATCTCAGTAGCCAAACCTGTTGACAGTTATGGAGTTCTGGTCTTAATCATAGTGAACCAAAATCTTTTCAGATGGAGGTCCCCGAAGTAAGTCTGAACAAATGGGTGTCTGTGACCTAACGTGCATCAATTTAGGGGTCCTTGACATGAAAAAGGTTGAGAACCATTGAGTTAGACAGTTTAAACTGTTTATCTAGAGTTAAGATACTATTTACAGCTCAATCAGGAGAGTATTTATTTACTTGCACAAGTGACAATGAGAAAATGTGAAAAAGTCTTTGGCAATTAGACCCCATCGAGATGGTAAATGTTTTTAAGGTGGGTGAGGAATCCATAGTAGAGCAGGGAACCCCCCTCCCCTGGGGTCTAGACGCTGGTGGTGGTGGTAGGATGAGGTGGTGATGAGATGAAGATGTGGAGAAGATGGAGAAGTGCTGACGATCTGGATGAGTAGAGGAATGAGCCTTGTTGAGGTCGTCCTGGGCTGGAGGTGAACGGGGTGGAGGATTGCGCAACGATTCTGCCTAAAATGACAGCTGACAGCAGTAGAGGAAAGACCAGATTTAAGATTTAGCTGTAGCGTCCTGATTGGCTGATAGAGATGGTGGCGATGTTTGATTGGCTCACTAGAACAGTGGATACCCTTTGTCACCTGATTAGAGGAAGCAGAGGGAGAAGGAGATTTGTTGGAGAGAATTGTGAATGGATGAAGCACAAAGAAAGTTTACCTGATTAAACTTATGCTGAGCTTCATTAAGAGGAAATGGTTGCAGTAGCAGGGGTGGAGGAAGAATTCAGTTTTTTACTCAAGTAAAAATACTAATACCACACTGTAAACTCCTGTATTGAAAATGTTACTTGAGTAGAAGTATTTAAGTATTATGAGGGAACAACACAATTTAACTCTGACCTCGTTACGTATTGACGTTTGGTCATGGACCTTCCACGTCCTGATACGATGTGAAAGGTACCCTGGGTGTGTTGGTTGTTGACGTTCTAGGATGCCGTGTCAAGTTCTGCCTGTTACATGCATTGTCTTCTTTCAAAATACACTTCTGTTTTCACTGGACATTTAATGTTTACATACAGTACGACGCTAAAGGACATCTTCTTTACGTCAGTGTCTGACGCCCCAAGTCACTATCCAAGCACCGGATTTCGATGACTTCCAAGTGAAACCCGGGCTGCAGGAAAATGTGCTTAAAAGTGTTAGAAGTAGAAAACTGTCTCCTGTGACCATTATATAGTTGTCACTTGTTTTTTCTGAATAGCAGATCGCTGCTATGAATAAGAGACAACGCAAGTATGATGCTGAATGTATTAAACTGTGTGGACCTTTAACTAACGAATATGGAGAAATCTGGACCCTGTGGCTGGACCAGTTGGGAACCAATGATAAAGCGGATATGTTAAAATGTTGTGTTTCAGCAATGCTGTGGTTAACATGTGGTTAGGGTTAAGCCTGGTCCTGCGTTAAATCAACGACGTCGCTACGTCGAAGGGTACGTGGCTACACAGAAGGCTCGCCGTAGCCCCCAGCGTAGCCTGACGTGCACCTCCCCAAAAATGTAGCTACACGTCGAGGTGATGCAGACCCAGCACAGACTGAGAGGGCTGTGATTGGTTTGCTTGGTAGCAACGCATTTCTGGTTCAGTATTTCCAGATTGCGCCATACCCGCCATCTTTAAACATCTTCTGTTGCGATGTAGATGTTGCAGTATTAAGGCCCATTTATGCTCAACGTTCAATACGGATACGGACGGAGCTGTCTGTCTGTGCTCCGCGTTCATTTCTCTGTGACCGGAAAAGCCGGAAGCTAAACAAAGAATCAACTAGAGACGACGATAACCATTCAGGAAAGGAACGCAGCCTCCTACCGCTCTGGCGGTGAATTCCACCGCGACGAAATGGAGTGATGGAGAAGTTCGAAGGGTTCACGACGGCGTCACGGCAACGATGTAGGTACATCGTAGGTACGCCGCAGGACCATAAATCAGGCTTTAGGCACAAAAACCACTTGGAAAAGATCATGTTTTGGCTTAAGATGTCCAGCTTGGGCGAGCAATCCGCTGCAGGAAAAGCAGCGACGTCTCTGTAACTGCTTTTCACTTTACCTGCAAGAAACACAGCAACAGGTCGCTTAAAAACATCCATGTTTGGGGGATAAAAAGCTGCTGGAAACACAGCAATGACTCGCTAAATCACAACCACTTTTGTTGTTAGTTGGCCTCAAACAATGGTCTGCAGCTTGGCAGGTGTCCGACCTTGGTGTCACACCATCCACCATCTCATCCACTTCCAGAGGACAAAGTCAGCTCATATACTACCTCACTTCAGAAACACTGATATCAAACGTGCAAATGTAACGTATTCATGATTTGCAGAAATGTACAATGCCAACATTTTCTTCTGGTGACTGGACTGAAGGATGCAAACCTGTGATCTTGGAGTTCTCAACCTTTTAAACTCACAATCCAACTCGCCCCCATCACAGGCAGCACAAAGATTATTACTGTTTGATGTCAATCAGTAACAGATGAGGCGGAAAGTGATTTAGTGTTTCACAAAAAGAGGACATCCTGCTGGCTCATTAATCTAAGGTACAGTACAGTATGTTTCTATTGTCCTGGGTACAACCAACGCTCAGCTTTCTCACGTGTCATTCCCACCTCTCACTCACAGACCTTTACTTCTCTCTGCTTTGAACTATTTAGTAAACATTTTACAGTTAATACCCCAAAAGCTGAGGCTTTGTGGGCTTATTAATGATGATAATTCTGAACATCCTCTCGTAACTGTACCTCTTGTTTTTCAGACCCTCCATTTTGTCTCTGTAAACGTTCACTAGCTTTGTTGCTTCACAGGTGAGGTGACACTTCACGTGCTGTTTGTTTAACGGTTTGTTTGTTGCTGTTTGCCCTTTTGGGAGGCAGCTTAAAGGTTAGAGGAGGGGGCTTCGTGCTGAATAGTGACTGATACAAATTCTCAAACCAACCTGTTGGTGAAACGCCGTCAAATTCTGCAGGATTGTTTGGAGCTGATATCTCCTGGGTTATCTTAATTTGGTTGCATCTGCATGGTGCGTTCAGGAGCCATGGCAGTTTGTCAAACAGGCAGTGTGGGAAAGTGACTACATTTAGCAGATAGGTTCCAACATTGTATCTGTACCAAAAACAGCCACTTATTTCTTGACTTGTTCACAGGGTTGGGAATTAACTTTTGTTGAAAAAAGACTAGTCTGACCTTTTGCGAGTATTTTATTGAAGACAAAGCTTAGAACTTCATATACCGCAACAACGAGACAGCCCTGTAGAGCAGTTCACCAAACATTCTTATATTCCTCCTCGGACAAACACCATACCTAACTTTCCGTGTGTGTGTGTGTGTGTGTGTGTGTGTGTGTGTGAGATTTCCTGCTGTTTTAGGACCTTGCGCTTACCTAATCTTTATTCTTGGCATTTTACCACACTTGCCAACGACATCTATTTCCCCATCACAATGTTTCTCCATCACAGTGTTTGCCAGGTCACTCTGCTCTCAGACTTTTCCCCAGAGTGAGACCATTCTAACTTCTAACTTGACCTTAACGGTCAAATATTTCTAGGCCTTTTCGCCACAACACTTTTCTGTCCCGCTGCCACTGCGGTGGATTCTGAAATCTGCCATTTTTTTCTTGACTGGTCAGTGAAGCAAATCCAGCAGCCACTTGCATATTTTACCAGCACTTGGCTGGTGGCTGGTGCTAATTTCCAACCGTCCCTGCTGAATAATCTCCATCAAATTCACTGAAATCAGCTGAATAGTTTTTGAGATATCCTGCTAACTAACAGACAACTAAAAACATATATAAACCAGCTATTTGTCACTTTTGTTATCAATTATTGGTTCCTCAATAATAGGGCAGTTTGATGCTAAATACATAAGTACAAAAAAGTTAACTTTTCTATTCTGGTTCAGCTCAAGGACACAAAGCAGCAGGTAGTTTCTCTCTGGCCCCTAGTATCATTAGCTACGAACATGCACACTCATATTCCACTATTATTCATGTAACCATCACCGATTGGAAATTCAGAATTAGACCTTTTCCTGCATGAAGCATTTTCCGATGAAGACATGTGGGATATGGCGATATTATTCAGGTTTTATAGCATTCTTTGGACATGTATACAGCACATTCAGAATATGCATCTCAACCTGGGGTTTTTATCGCACTTTGCGACACATGGCCTCTTACCTATTTATGGTCGGCTCTGTGTGTTGCATTGGTGCATTGTACACAAACCGACTTGCCAACAGTTTATGAGGCTGTGGGTAGAGACGCATGCCCAAAAGAAAAGCAAACATTTCTAGTCAAAAGGAGAAACATACCTACTTTTAGACTTGGATATTAAAAGGTTTTTGGAAACGCACACATATCGCATCACTCACTTTTTAAAGAAGGTGGGTAAAGGAATCTTAGAGGGAGGCTGTGTTCGCACGATTGAACAACAACCAGTGGAAAACTTTGAAAAAATCCTTTTTTTGGTGCAAAGAAGCAAAATGACAGGTGACTCCAGCTGTTCCACTTTTCTATGTTTTGACTTGATAAACAACACGTTAGGACAGGTTAATCGGAGTATGCATGGCTGCATGTAAACGCAAGGTGCTATATTCCTTTTCATTAGTCATGTAAACAGCAATATGAATGTAGTCATTGTGTTTACCTCCATGGTGGTTCGGTTGCACTGGTGGGTATCAGCAAACCAGCTGTCTCCTGTTGCACACTGGTTCAAGTCGATGTCTTGAATGTTGACATCCACACGGATCACACCTCTGACACACACACACACACACACACACGGGAGGAAGGAAGGAAGGTCACATGTGTGTCAGAGTAAAGAAACAAGAATGGCTCCAAATATCATCAGACTCATTAAAATAATCCCTTTTCTCCTTCGTCTGCAGAAACCTGAACGGCCTTTAAATGGATTTCCCTTTCAAATGTCAGATTTTATCCAACTCTGGTGATTTAAACACATTTTTTATTCCAAATCAAACTTTTCTCCGGAGAGCGGTAGAGAAGGTCACCAGGCCAACACAGAACTAGAGCGGCAGGTGAAATACAAACTGCTGCTGCTGTTAGTTTCAAAGCTTTTCAAAGCTTTTCAGGCACTAAGGGAAAAGATTGTATTTTGAGACTTGCAAGCAAGTCTTTCTGAAACATTATTCTGGCTGTGAATGTGTTGAAGGAAGGAGAATTTACTCTTGCTTCAGTGAGGAACACACGGTATACTCTCAATTACATCAACAGCATGAGATGGATCAGATCCTGCAAGTCAATGATGTCTCATTCTGCATATAATGGACACATATTGGACACCAGTCACTGAAGCTGAGCGACTGGACTTCTCCTCTCCTCCTCTTTGCACCCAGCATGCTGCTCTGTATATTTAGTAGAGTGATGCTGCTCAAGACTGTCAGCTCTCTGCATGCAGATGAGGCAGGAAGCATTCACTTTCATGAAAATGATTTACTGTCAGTCTCTCTTGTAACTGTCTTTGCTCCAGGGAGGGTGCTCTCTGCTAGGTGTAGAGGGAGACATTATGGTGTCAAGTCCTGAAGAACAACTATAGTGTTTTGCAGTTGGGTGCAGCTTTCTAAATGTCAAATGTGAAATAAATAGCACCAAATTTAACACTCGAGTCTTGCAGAAAGCTGCAAGATTAAATGATTGCGGTGAGGTTTTCAACAACAAACTCTAAATATGTAAGAGGACTTATAAAATTTTTGTTGAGAGTTGGTTTGAAACCCCTAATCTGATACCAGTAACTAAAACTGATAACCAAAGAGATTCCAGATATTGATCTCAAGTGATAATTGTTTAACTTGGACTAATAATTGTTTACCAGTTGCATCTGTCTAAATTCCAGTGTCTCTGTGTTTGTCATGCTTCATTAGTGTGTGAGAGTTTGCATTTATATGTGTATGTGCTCTGGTGTGTGTGTGTGTGCGCAGGCCCTAACCTGAACTCTGGCGTCAGGTCAGGCTTGAGGCCGTAGAAAGATGTTGACAGGGTGAGCATCCAGTTGGGAACGAAGCGTCCATCCCTGCAGTCGAGGAAAGGGGCGCTGCCCCAGCGCACACCGCTGTGATTGGTCACGTAGCTGTCACCCTGCCTCCACTTGGGTGTGTCCAAGGTGCTCAGGTCATTGAGGAGCACCCTCTTGGACAGGGCCGCCATCGGCTGGTTGGACTCTGGGAATTTAAAGCTTCTGAACCAGCTGTCGTCGGGGGCTGGGGCAGGCGGGTGCAGGCTCCCCCACGACTTGGATAAGTCCTGGAGGATGATGGTCTGCACCTTGGCTGTCGGGTTGCGGGAGGCACAGAGCACCAGCTGTGGCACCGGGGATGTCGGGTCAGCGTCGAAGGTCAGCAGGGCCCGCCGGATGAGCAGGTCGGCCTCCAGGAGGGCGCGGACCAGAGCATGGTACCACTCCATGTCCTCCTGCACTGTGCTCTCCCGCAGGTCACTGGCCTGGAAGATCATATTGAGGAAGTTGGCGGTGCTGGCCAGCGCATTCTGAGCTGGCCGGAGGGGGGCACTAAAGCTGACGGGCAGGGATCCGGGCTGCCCCGGCGAGCTGTACGCCCGTGAGCAGCGGGCTGTCTCCAGTGTGGAAGGGTCTCCAGTGTACAGGAAGGTCTCTGCTGGTGACCAGTCATCTTCCTCCTGTGTGGGAGCTTCTGAAGGCGTCACTGCAAACCCAGAAGGCTCCGAGGGTCTGAAGGAAGTGGAGAGGCTGGTGGAGACATCTGAGGTTCCTGTGCTGTTTGTTGAAGAGTCAGTGCTGTTGTTTGTCTCCACAGTGACTCCTGATGTGAAGTCTGGAGTCACCTGCGCTCTGAGGAGGGATGGGAGCAGAACAAGGAGCCAAACTGGACCCATCCTGGATTCACTCTGAAGCAGAAGAGGAGGAGGGGGAGGAGGGAGGGGGGTCACACTCCTACAACACCCTCTCTTTTTGGCGCTTGACCCCTTTGTAGTTCCCTTGAGGCAAAGAAAAACGTCACATGTTGGCGGAGCTTTGGACTTTCTTCATCCTCACATCAGCGCGGCGGTGCAGCAGCAGCAGGTGTCCGAGAGGAGAGCGGCCACTCGGTCTGCAGCGCTCACGCTCGGAGCGCACAGCTCCATCTGTGCACCGCACGGACACATGCACGCGCGCGTGCACACTCGCACGACGAAATCATTAAATCCTTGTGTCCGCGCCGGTGATGTTGGTGATGAGAGGCGGAGGACGCAGGGAGTAAGCCCAGCATCTCCGCAGTCCCGTCCGGTGTCTCCCGCCTGCGGTGTCCCTCTGTCTCCGTTTTCCAGTTGCAAAGGCGTGCGCTAAAGCTCCGGAGCAAAGCAAACGCAGCGTGCGCAAGAAGGAGGAGGTGGGGAGGAGGAGGAGGAAGAGGGGAAAGCCTCAAAGTTGTGGGATCCCCGTGTTCAGATGGGGGGGGGGGGGGGGGGGTGGGGGGGGGGGGGGGGGGGGGGGGGGGGGGGGGGGGGGGGGGGGGGGGGGGGGGGGGGGGGGGGGGAGATAGAAGTGTAGCTAGAGATGGAGGGATGGAGAGAGAAGAGCAAATGTCCTCCTTTCTTCTCCTCTTCTTCTCTTCTCCTCTTCTTCTTCTGCCTGCTGCTCTGCTATCTGTTGCTTCACAGAGCCTCCAGCCCATCTGAGGGAGGTTTGTGATACTCGTCCATCCTCCCTCCTCCTCCTCCCTCTCTATCCCATCATTCCATCATCCCCTCCCTCCTCTTCATTCACCCTGTGCCTCCCTCCTCCACCTATCGACAGGGACGCTCACCAGTGCTGAAAGGTGATGAGAGTGGTACATCTGTTGTAGTGTGTGTGTGTGTGTGTGTGTGTGTGTTCACAGAGGAGAGGATGAGGGTTAAGCTCTGCTGCATTTGAGCATCCATCAAGTATCCCCCTGCTGACTGACTGGCTGGCTGGCTGGATGGATGGATTAACCCCTCCTACAGAGAGACAGAGACTGGATAGGGATGTTCTTTTACTACACACACACACACACACACACACACACACTGGAGGAGATCATAGACGCAGCATGACGACATACGTAGATTACAGGTATAAAAAAATGAGGAGATTTTTAATCACTATTGTTTGTAGATTTTTTTTTGCAATGTCAGGGAATCCCCTCCCTCTTTGTGTGTGTGTGTATGTGTGTGTGTCCGAGACAGTCTATGCATCTGTGTGTGCGTGCACCATCGTCTGGCTGCAGCATCAGAAGCGTGAGAAAAAAAGGGAAGAAATAGAGAGAGAGGGGCGAAATGAAGCAAGTGATACAGGCAAGAATCGTGTTTTGGTGGCCATGGCAACCGGTTTCTGAGAATCAACCCCGCCAAACCCCCCCCATACACACACACATACATACACACACACACACAAACACCACTCCCACCTCCCGCCCTGGGACTTCACTGCAGAGCAGCGGAGGTGCTGCAGTCAATCCTGAGGAAGACAATAAGGCAGTGTGTGTGTGTGTGTGTGTGTGTGTGTGTGTGCGCGTGTGTGTGTGTGACCTGTGCATACATGTAGTGTTGCAGTGTAATCGTGTTCCTGTCTGCTCTCATGTAGCCGTCGAAGGGAAAACACACAAACAACAAGTGTTAGGATGAGACGATAAGAAGATGCAGTCAGTCAAACACAACATGAGTCACATTCTGCTCCTTCAGTTTCGGTTTTCTCACTCCTCTCTCTGTCAAAGTCTTTCTGTGTTTCTCTTCTTACTGCAATAATTTCATATTTATTGTGTGTCATGCAAATAAAAGTACCCGGCTCACGTCAACATATAATACACCAAACGTACTGTTGCAGTGGTGAGAGAACATAACCTCGCACATATGACATTACAAAGCAAAGATTTTGTCCCAATTTCTGCAAATAAAGTCTGCCACAAAACACAACTTTTTTTATTGTCATCCATTCAGAAAACTCGTCAGGGATCAATGACATTTTCCAACAAAGTGAAGCCCTTTACGTGTCATATATTCAGCGCTATATGCTCCTGTTGTCAAGACAAACTGTGATCTTTGACCTTTTTATTTTGGTTCCACTTTCTCACCTGTCTCATTCCAGTGTTGCAGGTCACCATGCGTCTACGGTCTTCACACAGCCAGACCGCCCTGACAGTGGACCCTGGGGTGGAACTGAGCTGTGGCCCCTGTTCCCCTCTCTGCGCATTGTGAATACACCTTTCATCATGTGCAGTTCACACAGCAGAATACACATGCCCTGTTTCACAAAAGCATTTAATATTCACCTTACAGGCATCCTTAGACTTAAAGGAATACTTCACACCCCTTCGGTCCTGGTTGTGGAACAGTGGACCAGCTCTTTACCCTTGTAGGGCTGCTGGAGGGGTCGTGGGAGTTTGCCCGTCCAGTCTACACGTGTTTTATGGACTTGGAGATGTCCCATGGGGATTCTTGTCATGGGTTCTGTGGGGATACGGGGTATCGGGGTCGCTGATACGAGCCATCCAGTCCTTTATAACCAAAGTGAAAGCTGTGTCTTTATACTTGGCACAAAGTAAAACACATTCTCGGTCAGCATTGGCCTCCACCAAGGTTGTCCCATTTCTCCAATTCTGTTTGTGATATTCATGGACAGGATCTCGAGGTGCAGCCGGGGGTAGGGAGGGATCCCCTTTGGGGACCTCAGAATTGCACCTCTGCTTTTCGCAGATGATGTGGTTCTGTTGGCTTCATCACACCGTGACCTCCAGCATGTACTGGGGCAGTTTGAAGCCAAGTGTGAAGTAGTCAGGATGAGAGTCAGCACCTCCCAATCTGAGGCCATGGTTCTCTGCTGGAAAATGGTGGATTGCCCCCTCTGGGTTAGGAGAGAGTTACTGCTCCAAGCGAGGGAGTTCAAGTATCTCAGGGTCTTCTTGTTCATGAGTGAGGGTAGAATGGAGATGGATAGATGGTTTGGTGTGGCATCTGCAGTGATGGTGAAGAGGTTTATAGATTTATTGGTCCATCTACGTGCCAAACCTCACCTATGGTCATGAACTCTGGGTAATGACAGAAAGAATAAGATCGCTGATACAAGCGGTCTAAATGAGTTTCCTTCCAATGGCGTCCGGGCTCAGCCTTAGAGATAGGGCAAGGAGCTCAGACATCTGGAAGGAGCTCCGAGTAGAGCTGCTGCTCCTTTGCTTCGAAAGGGGTCAACTGAGGTGGTTCGGGCATCTGATCAGGATCCTCCTGGGCACCTCCTGCTAGAGGTTTTCTGGGCACATCCAACTGGTAGCAGGCCCCGGGGCAGACCCAGAACACACTGGAGGGATTATATATCTCATCTGGCCTGGGAAGGCTTCGGGGTCCTCCAGGAGGAGCTGGAAAGCGTTGCTGGAGAGAGGGATGTCTGGAGTACTTTGCTCAACCTGCTGTTCCCGTGATCCGCCTTTGGATGAGCAATTGAAAATGGATGGATGGACGGACTGTTTACCAAAAGGATTGTAACTGAAGATGCTGAATTGTATTCACTTATTTTGACTGATTAACTAGAGCCTCCTGCCCACTCTCAGAAGACTACAAGCCTCTTAAGAAGCTCCAAAACTTACAGTGAGAAACACAAACCTGTGTTATTTTTTTATTTTTTATTGTTTTTGTTCACTGTAAAGTTTACATGCTGTCCTCTTCCTCTTCTCTCTTAATAATAACTAACTAATATGAGACAAGAGGAGATGCAACAAGACAAATTCAGAAAGGTTAGATGAGAAAAAAAGCCAGGATTCTTGTTTTAGTTTAGTTTGTTTTTAAAAGTGTAAGTGCCACACAAACTCCCTCAAAACTAAAATGAGACAGATCAAAACAATATGAGAGCTGAGAAGATGTGATTAGACGCACATGGTGAGGTAAAAACAAACAAAACCCTGCAGCGCACAACGATAAAGCATGGGTGTAATGTTAATGCTGCATGCTGCCGACCTCTGACCTCCAGGCTGCATCACATCAATATTCAGCTCCGCAGGGCAGGTTGTTAGTTTGATTACTCCACATAAACCTCAGATACAAACACACACTGCCTTCTTCTTCTCTCATGTAAACACACACACACACACACACACACACACACACACACACACACTAGGGATTAATGGCCCTTCATCCACTCTCCCATCATTATCTGTATCCACCAGCAGCTTCATCCATCACTGCTGGATGGCCTGCAGCGCCATCTGCCTGCCACACAGCATCAATGCAACAGTCCAGGTCAGTGCTGTTATTGACAGTTAGGGCTCATACTGGGTGTGTGTGCTGTTGACTGAGCCTCATGCAGTCTGAGAGGGACGAAGATCAGTCGCTGCTCGAAGCCCTGCAGCCACCAGGGGGCCCTCAAAAGGAAAAGAAACCCCAAATCTTCTTATCTTTTAGTTTATTGTGAGAAATATCAAAGGAATAGTACAACCAAAAACAAGATAAAGAATATAGAGTACTCCCCTCCATAATAATAACATTATTATTAGTGTTATTATTATTATACTATAGCTGAAGCTTCATTTAACCTGCTGCATTTTGTTGCATAACTTTTGCAACATACAGTACGTAATATCCCTGATAAGTCTTCTCAAAGTGAAGGTAGATCCATTTTACTTGTATTGTATGTATTTTATGTATTGTATTTTATTCTGTTCCTTTACAGTTGCTTATTTTTCATTGCTTTTCATCATTTTATATCTTTGCTTTTCTACTGTTCTATTGCAATCACCTTTTGTGTTTATTACCCTGTTTTATTTTGTGCAACTTTTTTTTATTTTCCTCCCCTCTCCTCCAGAACATCCTACCATTTGCTCTGATTCAAACATTAACTTCTGCATTAAACTACTTTAACAGCAGCCGCAGTGTTTATTTGGACATTTTTCCTGTACAGACGCATTCAGCCGGGATCAGTGAGGCGAGGAGCCACTATGTGCAGCAACATCCCACAATCACCCTGTTACACTGTGGTCATCTTGTACAATAAGCTGCTGCAGGATACAACTGAGACCAGATTCAGATGTAACACATCATGTTTTCGCCAGTCATGGTTGTTTTATGTCATTTAGACCACTAAAAATTAGACAGTTGTTGATTTTAAAAGCAAATGTGTACTTTTGAAGCACAAATTAATACTTAACTGAGACAGGAATTGATATAAAATATGGGTGTAATCTTTGTAGTCAACTTGTGTCAGACATTTTGTGGTGTTAGGTGCT